GGCGAGAAAGGGATCGGTAAAAGCACCGGAAAACCGCTGCACTTCAAGGGCTGTCCATTCCACCGCAGTGAGTGTCCTGACCTCCCGTTTCCATGGAGACGCATGTAATGAGCTAATGGCAGGGTTCACACAATCATGGAAAAACCTGGAGAAATCCGGCAACTCATTTCTAGGCCTGGAAAAATTTTGTAAATCACTATATAATATATACTTTCTTTCCCTGTAATGCCAAGCTCTAAACTTTCTCATTTCATTTCATGCTTGCTAGATTATAATTTGTAAAAGTATTTTTTTTTTTTTATTACACTTATATATCAAGTATAATCATATAAACTATAACGATTGGCACATGACATACAACTGGAAATCCACTCTCTATAAAACATTTAATCAAAATCTTATTCAGTATTCATTCGTATGTAATCAGTTGTATTTATTTTTGTACCCCTCAGTCATCAAGAAATTTATGGTCCAGGGTGGAGATTTTTCTAATCAGAATGGTACCGGAGGAGAGAGCATCTATGGGGACAAGTTTGAGGATGAAAACTTTTACTACAAGGTACCACAGAGCTGCTTTGCTATAAAGGGTATTTCACCCAAAAATAAGATGACATTTTGTTCCAATCCTGTAACACAAAAGTAATTAAGGATTCTCTCGAAAATGGTAGAAATCATGATAAGATTCTGGTCACACCACCCCTCCCCAAAGTATGTCAAACCTTGTTTAATGCACATATTCCCTGACAAAATTTCAATTTTTTTTTTGTGAATTTGTCCTTTAACTAATCAAAGCCATCAGTATGTGTAATTGCTATGAGATTAAATAAACCAAATACGGCACTTGATCTATCTCCGAGGCATTCGCTAATTTCCTGGTGTCTGCTCTGAGGAAAAAATGAGATAAAGCTTCTGTTTTTTTTTGTCAAATGAAGTGGTGCGCTATTAATCTGGTTGTCTTTTGCCCCCCTAGCATGACAAAGAGGGGCTGCTCAGCATGGCGAATGCTGGCCCCAACACGAATGGCTCACAGTTCTTTATGACCACGGTTCCCACACCGCACCTGGATGGCAAACATGTTGTTTTTGGGCAGGTGCTGAAGGGAATGGGGGTGATGAAAATGCTGGAGGGGATGGAAACAAAGGACGACAATCCTGTGAAGGTGACCATGTTAAAAGCATGCAAACATCTTTTACTTCTTAAATGCATCATGGCATTGTGACAACTGCATTCATGCTTGGAACTCTAAAGCGACAGAGATCTTAACTGGTCCTGAAGGACAGCTATTTCTGAGATCTTTCTTTCACAGTCATTTAGTCACCCTAATCAAGATTTAATCGTCTGGAAATGTAGTCTGTCACATGTCCTGCTCAGGTGAACTAGCTAAGTGTGATGAATTAATGTTTTGAAAGAAGACATTGTGTGTGACCTTTTTTCTCTCCAGTAAGGAAATGAAGTATTTTCCTTATTCCAGTGAGCAACTGAATATTTAGATTGATTGTAACCATCATCTGTCTCTCTCAGCCCTGCATTATTGCTGAATGTGGAGAACATAAAGAAGGTGATGACTGGGACATCGGTCCTAATGACGGCTCAGGAGACACATACCCAGACTTCCCTGAGGACTCTGACGTGGACTTTAAAGATGTCATTATATTTCTGCATCTTCACTTGCATATACACTATACTATATATCACCTGCTCTATAAAATCCAGAATCACTTTAACTCAGAAGCTCGTTTTGAATTTATGCACTACGAAGGAAAAAGAAAAGCCTAAGCTTTCTAAGGATACTTATATTATGGCAGTGGTTTTGGAGTATAAATATAATGTAGTGTGTGTATACTATATATATTGAATGTATATTGATAGATCAATGAATAATCAGTCATTAAAAAGCATTACAGTCTGCCACAATATATAACATATTACAGTTTATTATATAATATGATAGCTGGGATGTGATTTACATGCTAAAAATGCAAAATAATTGAAAAAAATCCAATCAACACTTTATTCTAAATTCTTTTTCTAGACAAACAAAGTCTTGTCTGTGGCAGAGGATTTGAAAAACATCGGGAATAACTTCTTCAAGGCTCAGAACTGGCAGTCGGCCATCAAGAAATATTCAAAAGCTCTCAGGTGAACACTTGTCTTGTCTGCCATTAAGCCCCATTATTGCATTACGCTTGCACCGTGACATTAAAGAGACAGCTTTTCACACTTGATCTCAATTTGTCAAACATTTTTAACCATACTGTCGTAGCTGGTTTCTTTCCTCATTATGCCTTATATCATGATGACATTTCCTTAAGCACCTCTTTGATATGCATTACATTTACATTTAGTCATTTAGCAGATGCTTTTATCCAAAGCGACTTACAAATGAGGACAATGGAAGCAATCAAAATCAACAAAAGAGCAATGATTTGCAAGTGCTATAACAAGTCTCAGTTAGCTTAATGGCGTACACGTAGCAAGGGTTTTTTAAATAATATAATAAATAAAAACAGATAGAATAGAAAAAGAATAGAGCAAGCTAGTGTTAGAGGTCTTTTTTGCTTTTGTTAATTGTATAATAAATGAAAAGAAAACAATACAAAAAGATTAGAAAGCAAGTTAGTTTTTTTTTTTAAGAAAACAAACAGCAAATGAATAGAGTGCAAGTCTAAAAGGGACAAGTTTTTTTTAAAGAATAGAGAGTGCTAGAGTTAGAGGGTCAAATAAAAAAATGGAAGAGATGTGTTTTTAGCTAATTCTTGAAGATGCTCGGATTGAGTTGGGCAGGTCATTCCACCAGGAGGGAACCGTTAATGTAAAAGTGATTTTGTGCTTCTTTGGGATGGCACAATAAAGCGACGTTCACTTGCAGAACGCAAGCTTCTAGAGGGCACATAAGTCTGAAGTAATGAATTTAGGTAAAGGTGTGCAGAGCCAGTGGTGGTTTTGTAGGCAAACATCAATGCTTTGAATGTTATGCGAGCAGCTATTGGTAGCCAGTGCAAATTGATAAACAGAGGTGTGACGTCCGTTCTTTTTGACTCATTAAAAATGTATCTTGCTGCATTAAGATTGCTAACTGTAATCTAAAGTGAGCGTCGTTGGACAACACTGTGATTGCAACATGTCTGTATGCATCACTATAACCCAGCAAAGGTTGTTTTGGTCCACAGGTATCTAGAGATTTGCGGCAACACCTTAGATGACGATAGTGTCCTAAAAAAGCTGGAGCCCACGGCCCTGAGCTGCATTCTCAACACGGCCGCCTGCAAACTCAAACTGAAACTCTGGCAGGAAGCTATTGAGAGCTGTGATGAGGTAACATGGGACCTTCTGACATTGAGCCGACTGAATGGTGTCCAGTTCCATCTGGGTTACAGGATACAAGAAGCAAAGGGCCTTGATGTTTTATAAAGATGTACCTCAGCTATTCACTGCTCTTGAAATAACCTTGTCACGGCCGCTACCATTTATAGATCACCAGACGCACTGTCGTCTCTATTTAGGGAACCGTTTAAATGGATTCAGATTTCTTGAAATGGCCTGTACAAGTGTATTTTCTCCTTGTTTGTGAGGTGATTGTGATGTTTTATGTTTTATAACATAAACATAGTGGTGTTTTTTTTCCCTCAGGCCCTGGAGCTTAACCAGACAAACACTAAAGCGTTGTTCAGGAGAGCTCAGGCCTGGCAGGGACTTAAAGAATTCAACAAGGCCATGGTACCAACACTACATGGACAGAAATACACATTCATCTCACTCTAAATCAGTGGTTCCCAAACTTTTTCAGTCAAGCGAACAGAGCAGCCCACCTGAGACCTCAGATACCTAAAAACTACCAAAACAGTTGCTCACAGTTTTTGCGCATACTGTAGGTAATTAGCCTAAAGACAACTGGTAATTCAACATTTTTAATTCAGCCACAAATAGTTTGAGAACCACTGCACTAAATGCCTCAAAGAAAACAATGAAATTCTGGCATCATTTACTCACCCTCATGTCTTTCCAAACCTGTATGACTTAATTTCTTCCATGGAAACTGGTTTGGCACTTTCAGGCTTGAAAAAAGGATGCATTATGAATACTCTGAGTTTAATTTAGAACTAGTTAACAGGACATGTTATTCAGGAAAACTGCTTAATTCATTAGTAAACTACATATTCTCTAGGTCTGAGGGCTTTGCTTTTGTCAAAGAGAATCACCCCAATTACTGAATGTAGAACAAAGACAGATGTTAAAAGTTTAAATGAATCCGTCTTACAAAAAAAGAAAATTGTTCCAATTTACATGACAGTTTATTTCTTAAGAGCACTCATCTTTTTTGTTTTTAAACTGCAGATTGATCTGAAGAAAGCACATGAGATTGCACCAGATGACAAAGGTTAAACAAATTCTGAATTTGATTAAAAAAATATTTTATGATTTGTGAATATATATATATTTTTTTACATTTTCCTTTCACTGGTTTCAGCGATTGGAAATGAAATGCTGAAAGTGAAGCAGCAAGTGAAGGAGGAGAAAGAGAAAGAAAAGAAGATTTATGCCAAAATGTTTGCGTAACGGAAACGGCAGTGACCTCACTCCACACCGACCTACCTGCATATGTTCACTTACAATGCACTTGTGTCTTAGTGTTTCAGTCTAACGCTGGGGAAAAAAGGCCTTGGAGTCTTTCATTTAGGATAAATATGAAATGTCCAGTTTGGAAGGACATTTCATTTTGTCTACGGTGTTATAAAACGATTTGTCTGTAAGTGAATGAAAAACATTTGTGCATTTTTAGTACGCTGATCTAAAGATGTCTTGTATTGATTACTGTTCAAGAAAGAATAGGCAAATAATATTGTTTGTTTCTGGGTTCATTTATCAAATGGTGGCAAAAAAAAGCAACTTTTTTCTTTTGATGAAATGAGATTCAGTCCTGTCAGTTGTGTGAAATAAAACAATTGATATTTTCATGGATTTTTGTGTTTGTAGTTCTATAAAACATACCAACAGAATGGGATAATTAATTTATTTCTACCAGTTACAGTTACCAACTTTGACAATATATACAAAACTGTCAGTTTACAGTTAACCGCATCATGGAGAGCTAAAACGTCCACTGGTTGTTAATCCAACATGATCCTTTGTCTTTTGACATTCGTTTGATGGACGTTACATATAAAATTATTTCAAATGTTACAATTTGATCAAACCTGAAATATGCAAAGCCACTTTATGTAATTACACTTCAAGCTCATATCACACAGGATATAAGGACTTTCTGCTCCTTAGGCATATCAGAAGGACTCTCAAGTCTTTAAAAGCTTTAGCCCTGAAAGTTAAGTAAAACGATTCTGAACTTGTGCGATGTGCCCAATAATAAAAACGATATGTAATACAGAAATCACATGCCGTTGTAGGCTGGTCCTCCACTGCCCTCGGGCACAACCCAGTTGATGTTCTGGCTGGGGTCTTTGATATCACAGGTCTTACAGTGGACGCAGTTCTGTGCATTGATCTGTAATCTCATGCCATCACTCGTCTCGAGAGGAACATACTCGTATACACCTGTGGGACAGCAGGGACAAAATGTCTAAACACTGGCAGCTTGTTCACCAGATGTTTTCATCAGCCTCAGCATGTCAAGCTTGTTGATCTGGTATTATCAGGTGCAACTAAAAGGTTGAGTCTCTATTCCTAAATGCAGCAGAAACACAGAGCATTAGTTACATACCAGCAGGACAGAACCTCTGCTCTGGGCCGTCGTAAATCGCAAGGTTGTGGGCCACGGGAACACTGTCATCTTTCAGCGTCAGATGGGGCGGCTGGTCATGCTCATGATTGGTCCCGCTCAATGCTACAGATGACAACAGATCAAAGCTGATCTTCCCATCGGGCTTCGGATACTCGATGGGTGTACAGTCCTTAGCCGGCTTCAGCTGAGCAGAGTCTAGACCTACAGTAAATTTGTTTGTTTACCATTAGCAATAAAATACAAATGAATTGTAACAGATAGCAGACGCCCACTGCTGTAGTGAACTGAGTAGTAGCCTTGCATAGCAACATGTCTGACTATTAGCATGCAGTCTGGCCCAAACCGAAGCTAATTCTGTGCAAGAACTGCCTGCTCAGGCAGGAAGGGGCCCTCTGACTAACCACAGTTAGTTCATTACATTTAGGAGCATTTGACCCTGAAATGAGAATACAGAATACATACCTCTGAAATGAATACAGAAATGAGAACAAAGAAGAATATACAATTGTGCTCAAGTATATTTTGTTTACTTACTACTTGCTGTTAAATAGTAATTAGAAAGTTTAAAATGCCTTGGACAAAGTAAGGTTTTGGACAATATCGGAACATTTATTTTTCAACAAAAGTGATTTTGGATTGATAGAACTATGGACAAACTATGAAGAATCATCAAGAAATAACAGTAGCCCCTCACTGCAGAACACAAGATCCAGGGGGTATGGTTGGATCCAAATCTAGGGGGTGGAGATTGGTAGGTTTAGGGGTGGAGATGGGTGGCTTTAGGGATCAGGGGGTGGAGACGGATAGGTTTAGGTATATGTAAGGTTGGAGGAGTTGGATCTGGATCCAACAACGCCCCCTGGATCTTGTGTTCTGCAGTGAGGACCATCTCGAAAATAAGGATTTATGCTAATATAGTCTAAAAACCCATGTTTCCTTGGGCATTTCAAATCTTTTGGAAGGTAATGACTACAGTTATTTTTACACTCATTCACGTAGCATTTGGCAGTATCTATTTTATTTCAAAGTTCTGATTCCATATACTTCTAGTTCTTTCTCAGGATTGATAAACGTAATTGTAAGTAGTACATTTTAACAAGGCCTTTTTCCCAGCAGATAAAAACTTGTATTCCCCCCAAAAAAAAAAATTTGAAACTGATTTCACCCAGCATTTTCCATCTATAGAAGCATCAGAAAAGTATAAAATTCACTCATTAATGGACATTAATATGACATTAGCGGAACTCTTCAAAGTATGCCCGTTTCCTGTGCTCAATATATATATACAGTATATATATATATATATATATATATATATATATATATATATATATATATATATATCATCAGATATATATATATATATATATATATATATATACCATCAGTTATATAAAGCAAATACAAATACACTGCACTGACTTTATAGCTCAGAGTTTGCATCTACTTGCAATGTTTGATTTAAATTAAAAACTTTTGTTATAAACAAGCAAACATTTCATAGCGTGTTTCTTTGTTCTTACCATTATGCTTTAGAGTCCACGGTTCTTTTCCTCTCAAAATCCAGTAGAATATCCCAGTGTACACCATCCCTCCGTAGAGACCAAAATAGCTATGGAAAGATGGTCTGATGTTCCTTACAGAATACAACTCCTTCCAGATCCAGGATTTTTTAAAAGCTTCTTCATATTCAGGAATATAAAGACCTAATGGAAGAACACAAAAACATTCCCCGTTTAGGATACCTGGACACCTTTAATATCCTTAGACTACGTTTATTACCCTGTGAGTTACACCTCAGCTAATTTGCAAAGATGTCTGGGTTGGCTACCTGCTGTTTCTGACTGCAGATTCTCATCTGTGATTTTGCTGAAGGCACTCTCGGCCGCCAGCATGCCACTCTTCATGGCTGTGTGTGTGCCTTTGATCTTGGGCACGTTCATGAAGCCTGGACTGCACCCTATCAGCATGCCACCTGGGAACGTCACTTTAGGAATCGACTGGAGGGGAGATCACAATTGAGAGAAGGTCATCAAGAGAAAACAGAAGCAAATATACTGAGAATTTCAAATTGCTGACATGCCTGGGAACCTCCTTCGTTGAGGGCTCTGGCTCCGTATGCTATCCTGTTGCCACCCTCCAGGGTTGACATTACAGAGGGGTGATGCTTCCAACGCTGGAATTCCCTGAACGGGCTCAGATAGGGATTAGTGTAGTCCAAACCTACCTGAGGAGACATACACACACACACACATCTGCAGTTCAGCATAATAGGAGAACTGCACTGACTGTTTGCAAAGCTCCACACTCCTTGCTTACTGTTGCCTGCTAAGATGAGCTGAGAAGGACTATAATACCATACTAAAATACCATACTGATCAAAAGGCTGAGGTTGGGAACATTTTTTCATGTTTGTCAGTCTCTTATGCTGACCAAAAATACAGTAATAATTGTGAAATATTATTACAATTTAAAAAAAGCAGATTTTCAACTCAATACATTTTAAAATGTAATGTATTCCTATGATGGCAAAGCTGAATTTTCAGCAGCCATTACCCCAGCCTTCAGTGTCACATGATCCTTTAGAAATCATTCTAATATTGCTGTTTTGGTGCTTAAGAAAATTTTTATTATTATCAATGTTGAAAACATTACTTAATATTTTTGTGGAAACCTTGAGACCTTTTTTTAGGATTCTTTGATGAATATAAAATTATTTAAAATAGAAGTCTTTTGTAACACTATAATTGTCTTACTGCCATCTTTGCTGAATAAAAGTATTACTTCCTTAAAAATAAAAAAATAAAATCTTACTGACCCCAGACTTCTGAACAGTAGTGTATTCTCACACTGTGTATCTCAAAACTGCAATGCCTCTGCTAACAGCTCAGCAAGCAAATGAAATGTATTTTAGGGACAAACAATTCAGAGCAATCATGAGATTTGATTTAGTTCTGTCAATCAAACGCTGCACTGTATTTCCAGAAAACTGTGTCCAATCAGACTGAGTACCATCCTGGGCCATGACGACATTGGATAATAGCCCGTCATCACTGCCGAACTCCTCAAGACGTCTGGAATTGAAGCTATTTTCTATGAATCACAAGCATTCCGTGAAATGCCTCTTTAAAAAGTGATTGGAAAAAAATGAGGAGACATACACACACACACACATCTGCAGTTCAGCATAATAGGAGAACTGCACTGACTGTTTGCAAAGCTCCACACTCCTTGCTGACTGTTGCCTGCTAAGATGAGCTGAGAAGGACTATAATACCATACTAAAATACCATACTGATCAAAAGGCTGAGGTTGGGAACATTTTTTCATGTTTGTCAGTCTCTTATGCTGACCAAAAATACAGTAATAATTGTGAAATATTATTACAATTTAAAAAAAGCAGATTTTCAACTCAATACATTTTAAAATGTAATGTATTCCTATGATGGCAAAGCTGAATTTTCAGCAGCCATTACCCCAGCCTTCAGTGTCACATGATCCTTTAGAAATCATTCTAATATTGCTGTTTTGGTGCTTAAGAAAATTTTTATTATTATCAATGTTGAAAACATTACTTAATATTTTTGTGGAAACCTTGAGACCTTTTTTTAGGATTCTTTGATGAATATAAAATTATTTAAAATAGAAGTCTTTTGTAACACTATAATTGTCTTACTGCCATCTTTGCTGAATAAAAGTATTACTTCCTTAAAAATAAAAAAATAAAATCTTACTGACCCCAGACTTCTGAACAGTAGTGTATTCTCACACTGTGTATCTCAAAACTGCAATGCCTCTGCTAACAGCTCAGCAAGCAAATGAAATGTATTTTAGGGACAAACAATTCAGAGCAATCATGAGATTTGATTTAGTTCTGTCAATCAAACGCTGCACTGTATTTCCAGAAAACTGTGTCCAATCAGACTGAGTACCATCCTGGGCCATGACGACATTGGATAATAGCCCGTCATCACTGCCGAACTCCTCAAGACGTCTGGAATTGAAGCTATTTTCTATGAATCACAAGCATTCCGTGAAATGCCTCTTTAAAAAGTGATTGGAAAAAAATGCCATTTTGATATGCTACATTATCAGTAGGATGAGCGAATGTCCTCATGACAGACCCTGACCAGGAACAACTTCAAAAGTTGAAAGCCTTTTCACACTCGTTTCAGCTCATGAAGGAACATGATGAACGAGGCCAATAATATCTATATAGATCAAAGCATCCTGACAAAGACATCAATACAGAACATTCTGCTTTAAGATTAAGGCTTCAAGGAGGACTTTTGCAAATCCAATGAAACACTTCAATCAGAGTTTGACCCAGAAGGTTCAGGAAAGAGATGACTTACAACAAATCCCACGGCTACCAATGGTTCTCCCTCATTGAGGTGGTACAGGAAGGAGCCTCCGTACGTGTTCCTGTTTAGAGGCCAGCCAACTGAGTGCTCTGCCCGTCCTGGGCGCCACTTCTTCTCATCAATGACCCAAAGCTAGAAAAAAGCAGTGTTTTGTTTTGTATTCATCAGTTCATAAAAAAATTGCATCAAGCTTTTAAAAGAAAGCAATGACTCCAAACGTGAAAATGAACTAGCTGATTTCACTTCAAATGTTGTCATTGAAAGGGAAACAGTGACATCAAACTGAACATAGAAATATTTATGTAAGTTTAAAGCATCATCAAAGCAAGAGGGGTTTTGTACCTCTTTGAGACCGATAGCATACGTCTGCGGTTCACAGTTCTCCCTGAGATTGAACTGCTTGTAGAGTTGCTTGGCCAAGTGTCCGTGACAGCCTTCACCAAACAAAGTGACCTTAGCGTGGAGCTCCATGCCTCTCTCAAACACATCCTGGAGGAGTTCAACGGAGCGTGAAATGTGGTGGTAATAGCACACGAATATGCCATCTGCATAGCAGAATCACTTTACCCACAGTTAGCCTTTTATTTTTTCTCACTGCAATTTTTAGTTGTAGCTCACAAACTCTAACAAAATGTAGTTCACATTTGGCCTTGATGTGAACATTCAGCAGACTGCTTTAGACTAATAATTATTCTCATATAAAAATAAAATGTTTTTTTTAAATCACATAAAAGGTGTGTTTTAAATGTTCTATGTGTATTTAGGGTATTTGCATATTCTGCACTGGAAGGTATATTGACATAAAACCTTTGGAGAGCCATCTTTAGCAATGCCAACATCATTGGTTGCAATTCCCTTCACACTGCCATCCTCATGAAACAACACCTGTGTAAAAAAAAAGAGAGAGAGAGAGAGAGAGAGAGAAAGGAAAAAGACAGGTTGACGAGTTTGTCAACTGTAATGTGACAAGTGTAATGTGACTAACTTTTTATCTTGTAATTGTGACTCTAACAATAGGAATTCATGTGATGTCATAACTGAAAATTCGCAAAATTACAACATCTCTCATCATGTGACTTTTTTTACTTTTATCTACAGCATCTTGGAGAATGCATTATGCTTTTCTCTGCCTATTAACCAATTATCTTTCTTTATTCCATGATTTTTCAGTTGTTTTTAAATTACTGAATATATTTTTTAAATAATTTAATAGAGAATGCACTCATAGTGTCAAGGCGATCGAAGAGGAACTACACAAATGTTTACATCACATACATTTTTATGACTTTTTAAAATTGTATACATTTCCATGACATTTGTGATTAACAATTTTAAAATTCCCTGATATTTTGCTTACTACCCTGCTTACTATAGAAACAGCAATCCTGAAGTTAAATAAATTCCAGGTTATAGTGCGCTGATCGTATTGAGGGGTTTTGAACCTACAACCTTTCGGTTACCAATCCAGAGCTTTAATAAGTACAGCACATCCCTCACAATACAAACTACAAGTATAGAAAGGGTCTAATTAAAATAAAAAATAATTGCATAATTTTTGCATACATTCACATAAGGAAGGCATTCTGACCTCAGCTGCTGCGTAGCCTGGATACAGCTCCACTCCCAGCTCCTCCGCCTGCTCCCCAAGCCAGCGTACAAAATGCCCCAGACGAACTAGGTAGTTTCCATGGTTATTCATTGGAAGTCCTGTGTTCACAAATTGCATTTAATTGCATCCATGTAAGTGAACCAGTCTTAAAAATCTTTAAAAGTTTGTATAGTGAAAGATTATGTGCACTTCAAAATGCATTTACATTTTGACTGTGCCTCAGATGCAATCAACTGAAAACTCAGTTTACAAAGTTGTGACCCAAATGGCCCATATAATTAGCCCATTAGGTCAATGTATCATGAGTTTTCCATGGGAGAGGTCGTATCAGGTCATCATGAGGTTACACTATCATTGGCTCTCCATGGGGCGTTATTGTATTGTTTGTAGCACATTTGTTACCAGGTATAAAGGTCTGGTCTCACAGACAGTACCTTGGGTTAGGATTGTTTGAAGGATGACATGCTAACTTCACTGCTGAAGAACTGCTACACTGCTACCTTCAATAAATTCTTCTCCCCACAAGAACTTTGGTCAAGCATACTTATTTTACGTATTAGAGAAATCTAGTACATTGGCGAGTCACCCAAACTACTGCTCAGCTAAATACAGCAAAATCTAACAATAGGTTACAAAACCATTCAGGACACTGTGACACAAGTAGACCATTTATTTTATTTATTTGTTTACATTATGTAACTCTCATTGTGTGACGTTCTATAACTCTCTAAAATGGGCCTTATGCAATAGCAATAACCTACCTGGTAATATTGGAACAGGAATGCGGTATTTTTCTGTCAAAATGGAAAACTTGTCCTCTGTAACTGGAGTGTTCAGTGGAGCCTGTTAGACATGAATCAAAATCAGTGTCATGGCCATCAATGGTCCATGTGTCCACACAATCAGAAAATGCTTATCAATAACATGACAGTAAATCAGAATGGCAACATATTTCCCATATTTTTTACAGCTATTTTTATTTAACTTTTTTTTTTTTTTGCATTTAAAATAGGAATATAGTATTTACAATAGTCTGTGCTGTGTTAACAGATCCTAAGTGGGGTACAGTGTGCATGTGTGTTTGTTTGTACCCCTCTCTCCTTCCAGTCTGGAATAAGCTCACTGAGTGCAGAGGGCTCTAGACAGGCTCCAGATAAAGTGTGAGCTCCAAGCTGAGACGCCTTCTCCACCACACAAACCCGCAGCTCTTTCTCATGCTGGTTGGCCAGCTGCTTCAGCCGGATGGCTGCTGACAGGCCGGCTGGACCTCCACCAACAATGACAACGTCTGCCTCATCAGCGAAGCGCTCCATTTCCACCCCTGAACATATGAAAACAGACCATCACAGTATCAATCCCAATCATCTGACCCTCTTTTTGATACAAAAATCACCCAGTGCCATTAAATGCTAAATCTAATTGTGGGTTTTGTCTAAAAATACAATGATAATCAGAAGACAAGATTAATAAAAATGTCAACTATGCATATTAAATATAAATGAGAGGCAAATCACCAGCAAGCTAATGATTTTCAGTGACAGGCTATATTCAGTCAGGCTATCTTTCAGATCAGCAAAGTCTTAAAAAGCAAATGTTTTACAGTACAATGTTCAGGCACAAGTTTATAATATTATTTTTTTTAAAACATCTACAATACAATACAATATGTATTTATAAAGCACACTTAAAAACAATCAAGGTTGACCTAAGTGCTGTCAAAAAAGAAAACTACAAGAAATTCAGAAATCAAACTACAAGAAGTGAAAAAACACACACACACTCACACACAACAATAGTAAAAAATGATCAAACCAGAGGTCAAAGGAACACTGAAGGAAATAGAGGGAGTTAATCTGATATTGAGAGGTATGGTATATAATATCATAAATCATTACACACACACACACACATATATATATATATATCATATGTGTGTCATTTATAATATTTACGATATAATACATACATAATATTATAAACAATATATAAAATAGTTATAATATCATGCCACTTATCACATACACATGGATAATTATTTATATACTATACACACAAATACACACACACTCATTCTCTTGTAAATTACCAGGTTTTGCTGTAAATAAAACCCAGAATCTGAAATTGACTGACTCCTATCCAATCAAAATGTGTTCGCTCTCATCCTAAAGAGGATAAAGTGATGAGGAAACATGTAGCACAGAACTGACCTTCCCATCGTGGGTCCTTATTTCTGGTGTACACTGTGTAATGTGTGGTAATTCGTGGCACAGTGGAGGAGGAACTCCGTGTGGAGTACACCTGAGGAGCGACATGCTCCGCTTGAACTGCCTTCAGTGCACCTACACACCTCCGTGCTGCAAAAACACAAATAAAAGGCAAAACAATTAGATCACAGACAAGACCATTCTCATACAGTTAAATACAAACTTCATATCGGATTAACAAACAGTATTGTATAACAAACACACTGTGTATACATAGTGCCTATTGTGCATGTAAGTATATCAATAAAGTTAATCTAAACTAAATGGATCAACTTATATAACAGGATAAGATGTTACAAAATCCGCCCTTAAGTAACAGGCCAACTAAGGTCTTATCTAAAAGAATCAGTAATTGTTTGCTTACAAAAATCAGCTTCATGTTTATATTTAATGCAGAAACGCGTTCTTAAAGTGTTCATTTCTCAGACACAAGGACATTCTGACCGATATTCGAGTGACCTTTACCCTACTTTCCCTGTGACTGAACAGCTGCAGGATTCTGTGAGCTAGCTAGACGGATAAACCTACAGTTAAACACATGATTCTTGCCATGTCCCGTGTAAACATGGTTAATAACAACTTAATAGGACAGTATATGTGCTCTCAGGCTTGTAGAATCAAAGGTTTACAACGTTTGGTTAGCGCTCTGGCTACAAGTCAGTGAAAGTGTGACAGTACCTTGGAGGGAATATCTACAGGCTGGAAACATCTATGAGCTGAATGTGCGGCCGTGACTCTGGTCAAGTGCTTCCCGTGGTTTTCCAGGTTGAGTGTGGACAAACAAATACCACACTCCGGTTTACTCTGTTACAAAAGTGTCATAACAAACTCAGCGCGTCTGCTGCGCAGCTCAGAATGACGTCACAAAACCGCGCCGGAATAAAAAAAAAAAAAAAAACGTGCGAATGACTGCTGAGCTGATCATAAACTCATATGGATAAGAGTGTATCTGTCAATTAATTTAGCTGTCAGGAAAACATTTACTTTCGGCTGTAGAGGACGCTCTGCAATCTGGGATACACAAACAGGCAATTACTAAAATAAATGTAAAGAATAATAATAGTAAAAAAATAATAGTGATGATGATAAACATTTACATTTATGCAAAAGTGACTTACAAAAGAGGAGTGAAGAAATGTGTGAAAGAGCCTGAATGCAGAATTTATTATTTTTTTGACTGATTGATTGATTGAGAGCGAGTGAGTGTGTGTGTGGGTGTATTGGTTAATAGTGTGGGGTGATTTTGTACTTGTGGAAAAAGTCTCAGCAGTTCAGGTGGAGGTTGGCAGCTCATTCCACCAGAGAGGAACAGAGGGTGAAGGTTTTGGAGAATGACTTTTTCATGTCATGTGTTATATCTTTCAAAAATAAAGCAAATAACACATTTTTCCCTTTGTTAAAACAGGTAAATCTTCAAATTGAGGAAAAAGCCAATAATGCAAATCTTCCCAAAAGGTACAGGCACATTTACAATCATAAAAAAGATGTTCTGTAGTTTCAATTTGATCCACACAAAAGAACAGTTGTTAACATCAAGACCAAATCGACATCTTTAAAATTTAGATTTTTGTTCTTTAAATGTTATCTTCATATTAAAAGATGACATTTTTATTTGAAGAAAAAGGATGCAAATCCTTTACAGAGACTTTCCGGATTACAATATTGGGTAAATTTAGGTTAGCAAGAGAAACTCCATTCACCAAAAGCTGAGAAAGACAAGGTGTAGTGCTGTCAAACGATTAAATATAAGTAATAAAAGTTTCATAATAGTTGTGGGTGTACTGTATTTATAAATACACACACATACAGCACATATTTTGAAAATATACTGTATGTATATATTTATATTATATATAAATATATTTAATATATAAATGTAACATATATTTCTTATATACATGCATGTGTGTGTGTTTGTATATACATACACAGTACACGCACATATACTGTTCAGATGATATTAATCACGATTAATCATTTGACAGCACTAACCAGGTGTAACATTATTTTGAGATAAGTTACAAGACATCTGAATTATAGATTGTGGGATAGCTTTGATGATGTTATCATACTATTTTCTGTCAAATCAATTAAATTTGGAACAAAAAGATTCAAAAGACATAACTCCGGTATTATCTAATATTTTCATCACAGACCATATTACTTTCTCCAAAACTTTAAACATCGAAGAAGCCAGTTTTGGGGACCAGACCACTGCGTATTTGTTTTTGTGTTGTGACTTTATTGATTAATCTTTAATGAGTCGAAAAGAACGGACGTCACACCTCTGTTTATCAATTTGCACTGGCTACCAATAGCTGCTCGCATAACATTCAAAGCATTGATGTTTGCCTACAAAACCACCACTGGCTCTGCACACCTTTACCTAAATTCATTACTTCAGAATTATGTGCCCTCTAGAAGCTTGCGTTCTGCAAGTGAACGTTGCTTTATTGTGCCATCCCAAAGAAGCACAAAATCACTTTTACGGACTTTTACATTAACTGTTCCCTCCTGGTGGAATGACCTGCCCAACTCAATCCGAGCATCTTCAAGAATCGGCTAAAAACACATCTCTTCCATCTTTATTTGACCCTCTAACTCTAGCACTCTCTATTCTAATTCTATTCTTTAAAAGAAAAGAAAAAAACTCGCCCCTTTTAGACTTGCACTCTATTCATTTACTAACTGCTTGTTTTATTTAAAAAAATAAAATAAATAACACTAGCTTCTCTATTCTTTTTGTATTCTATTTGTTTTCTTTTTAATTATCATACAATTAACAAAAGCAAAAAAGGCCTCTAACACTAGCTTGCTCTATTTTTTTCTAATATATCTGTTTTCTTTTTATTTATTATATGATTTAAAAAAAAAAAAAAACCTTGCTACGTGTACTGCATTAAGCTAACTGAGACTTGTTATAGCACTTGCATATCATTGCTCTTTTGTTGATTTTGATTGCTTCCATTGTCCTCATTTGTAAGTCGCTTTGGATAAAAGCATCTGCTAAATGACTAAATGTAAATGTAATGTAAAATTAAGCAGTTGATAATATACACTGGCTGGAATAGTTCAGATTTTTTAAAGTTTCTGAAAGAATGTTCTTGACAGATTTTATAAGTTTCACCCATAATTATGGCAAGTTGTCAGTCAGTGAAGCTCTGTTTCCACTTTATTTAATGTGCAATAGGGTCACCTAATTTGTCTGCCTGTCTCCATGCCGACACAGGCTTCATACATGGTCAAGACATTTCCAGTCCAGGTCAGTAGCAGTGTGTGAGTCTGACTGACCTATTTATAGGCATATTCTCTGTTGCTTTTCTCTCTCTGTTTTAGTGTGCATCTGGTTTGATCTGGTTTGCATTTTCAGTCAGACATGTTTGGGTCTGTCAAACCAGGCCTGTGTCTGAGATGACTTTCTGGACTTAGGGCTTTGCAATGAACCGTAGCTATTTTTTAAGTGTTTGTGAAATTGACTCTTATATTTTTTGCAACGGTCTGTGTTTAGCGTAATTGCTCACTTTACTCTTTTCCACATCGTATAAGAAAATTAAATTCTACATGGTGATAAAACATGATAACCCCTATCATCACAGCATGTATCAGTCCCACAAGATATAAATAATTAGGGAAAAGTTAAAAAAATGATTAATACGGGCGGTGATGTGTGGCTGCTTATGTGGCATTTGTGAGTTTTAATTACTAGAAACGGAACATTGATGATCAGTAAATAGCACAGAATGCATGTAGGAGAAATATATTAACGTATTGAAAACAGAGATATCGTCATATGCATAAGAGCGATTCACATACTTATAACGTCATATGTCTTCACACCTATAGCACAGAACAGTTTCCCACATGTGAATCATTTGGGAACTTCACCTAAATTTAGTCACACAGGTGTGTTTGGTGTGAAGCAATATATCAACAACCTTCTGAAATAGTGAGCTGTGAAAGTATTGCATTCAAACATTTAAAATAACAAAAAAATATTTTTGAAATTTTATTTTTATTTTTTTATCTTTACATTCATAAAATTAAAGGTAATCTCTGAAAATGTCATGTCACAAAAACAGAATTTTCTTGAGGGAAACATGAAAATATCCTCTTCTTTCGGTGAGTTGACCGTGCCTGATAACCTTCCACATGTAAGAGAGGAGCGCTGTGAAAGTGTCACTAATAGTGTTTTATTAATAATTAGTTGACAGCTCTTTATAAATGGGTCCCTAAAGTGGAGTCAACCAACATAAAAGCCTTGCATGCTCAGAGGTCGTTATATCAATTAAATGGTCTTTGTATCTGGGCGAATCTCACAAAAACACGTCAGGTCATATTTCACCCCAAAATAAAAAGTAATATATTCTGATATAATATTGCAAAAAGATGAGCATACACTACCAGTCAAAAGTTTTTGAACAGTAAGATTTGTAATGTTTTTTTAAAGAATTCTCTTCTGCTCATCAAGTCTGCATTTAATTGATCCAAAATACAGCAAAAGCAGTAATATTGTGAATTTTTTTTACTATTTAAAAGAACTGCTTTCTATTTGAATATATATTGAAAATGTTACTTATTCCTGTGATCAAAGCCAAGTTTTAAGCATTATTACTGCAGTCTTCAGTGTCACATGATCCTTCGGAAATCATTCTAATATGCTGATTTGCTGTGAAACACTTTTTTTTCATCAGCATCAGTATTTAAAACAGTCGAGTAAATTTTTTCAGGATCCTTTGATAAATACAAAGATCCAGATATCAGCATTTATCTGAAATAAAAAAGCTTTTGTAACATTATACACTATACTATTCAAAAGCTTGGAGTCAGTATGTTTTCTTTTCTTTATTTATTTAATATTAAAAGTGATGATAAAGACATTTATAATGTTACAAACGATTTCTATTTCAGATAAATGCTGCTCTTCTGAACTTTCTATTCATCAAAGAAATCTGAAAAAAATCAGCTGTTTTCAACATAATAATATAGGCTAAATGTTTTTTGAGCAGCAAATCAGAATATTATTGGAAAAATTCATAAAAATTCAGCTTTGAAATCACAGGAATAAGTTACATTTGAAAATATATTCAAATAGATAAGTTATAAAATAGTACAAATATTTCAAAATTGTACTGTTTTTGCTGTACTTTGGATCAAATAAGCTTGGTGAGCAGAACAGACTTCTTTAAAAAACATTACAAATCTTACTGTTCAAAAACGTTTTAATGGTAGTGTATTTTAAGACCATAAACAGAGCTTTACAACCTTTTTTAATCATTGTAGCATTGTTTGCATGACAATAAAGCAATGTTTTTCTAAATTATAGTTAATAAAACACAAACTTTAAACTTTTTTATAATTTATTAAATAATGTATTATCATTTTGTTTTTATAATTCTCATTCAAAGGTGATACTTGTTAATATATCATTGCTTTGATACTGTATAAATCTGCACAATTAAATGTATTAATTATCATCATGATATACTGTATACTTTACTATTTCAATTACATTTTATTCCAAATTACAGTGCTGTGAAGTTCATTATAGTGATTAAAACTGGGGTAGAAAATGTCATAAAAAAATAACAGTCACAGTGCAAAAATGTTTTAAGTTCATAAATATGGTTTAATTTTCATGAAATAAAATGTTATGAAATTATATATATATATATATATATATATATATATATTCATGAAAATTAAACTTTTTTTTTTTTTGGGGGGTTATAGACTGAATATGCTCATGCTCTGACATGTGCAAGATTCATCCCACTATATCTTTATATATTACTCCCAGATAGAAGATACCATTGTGCGTGCAGGCAGACAGTTTCAGACAAAAACATTCAAATGAAATAAATTATGCATGGGTTTGTATTTGT